CGCCCGCCCCCTCGGCCCGGCCCGCCGGAGCAGGGAGCGGCCGGAGCAAGCCCGCCGTGGCCAAGCGGCTCCCGCACGCGCTGATCGTGGGCGTCAAGAAGGGCGGCACCCGCGCCGTGCTGGAGTTCATCCGCGGCCACCCGGCCGTGCGCGCCCTCGGCACCGAGCCCCACTTCTTCGACCGGCACTACGAGCGGGGCCTGGAGTGGTACAGGTGAGGCGGCGGGGCGGGGCAGCTCGGCAAAGGTCGGAATAGCAGAGTCTCCCCGCCTGCTCAGATGAGGATTCCCGGGAAAGGCGCAGTCGGAGGGTCGGCGGGGCAGCTCGGCTAAGCTCGGGAAGCGGCCGCCGCGGGCATCGGGCGGGCGGAGAGCCGCCAAGCGCCCCTTCCCGTCGCTCCGGGGCGCCCGGGACGGCGCTCTGCTCTCCGTCGGGGCCGGAGCGTCAGGACCCCGCAGCCGCGCTCCGCGTCTCCGGCTCGACCGCGACCCTGCCCGGCGCCCGCCGCGCGCTTTCGGAGGCGCCTCGGCTCGCCCGGAACGGCCGCCTCGCGCGACCGGCTGCCCCGCCGACCCTCCGCCTCCCCACCCCCGGGCAGGTCCGCGTGCGGACGGTGGCGACGGCGGGAAGCGGCGCTTCTGCTCCCCGTCCGCTCCACGTTTCGGCCTGGCGGTTTCTTGCCCAACAGGAGCTCCAGGAGGCGCCGCGAAACAAGCGAGCAGAAGGGGCGGCGGGTTCTGGGCCGGCTTCCCGACTGCGCCTTTCCCGGGAATCCTCATCTGAGCAGGCGGGGAGACTCTGCTATTCCGACCTCCAGCGTTTAACTCGCCTCCACCTCACACACACCCCGCCCCTCGCAGAAAGCCCGCTTACCTTCCCACCTGAGCTGCCTAGGGAAGCCCCCTCCCTCCAGGTGGGAGTGAGTCTCCCAGTCAGGACGGCCCAGGCAGGGCAATTGCCCAAGGAGATGCTGCCCACAGGTGTGTCCGCCGGTCAGACAGTTCATGGCTGCCTCACTCCGGGCACTTCCACGGCTGCGTTAGATCCTCTGCCAAAGCCCTCAAAGTGCGCGAAGGCGACCCGCGCAGCCTTCACTTCCCTTGGCTCCAAATGCTGAGAAGGAGGCTTAAAACTCGCTGCAGCTCTGACGGCGCCAAGATCCTCTCCGCCTCCGTTCGGCACAAGAGGGAGGGCAGGGAAAGAAGAGGAGTGGGAACAGAGAGGCAGCCTGCACTCCAGCTGGTCTGATCTTGAGGAGGAAACCCAGCAGAGCCTTTCCTCTGCTAGCGAGCGCAGTGGGTGGACTAGTTGATCTCTAATGTTCTTGTGGTTCTAAGTGTAAGCTAAGATTTCCCTTCATGGATCTTGGGAGCCAAATGGAGGCACGAGGGGTTGGGCAACCAGCCTTGCTCTGGAAGGGCACCTCGGAACCTGGCTCAGTAGAATGAGGGGCATTTGGGGAGGGGGTCCATTCCAAGGGTCCCCGCTGAGAGGCTTTTGCTGTGGGAAGGCGGTTCAGGAGCCAGCCTGGAAAGCATCTTCTGTGGAGGTTCCTGAGGTCTTCCAGAGAGGCTCCTTCAAAAGGTGCAGAGCCAATAAGCCCTGGATGGACCTGTCTGCTCCTGCTGAAGTTCCCCACTGCCCCATCATCCCGTTCGACTAATATTTCTTTTAAATGAAGTCCTTCACTACGCTGATCCTGTTGAGCCTCTTTCTAGAGGGCCAGCGTCTCCGATTGGACCTGTGCAGCAGCACCCACCGGCATGTGCCTTGTGATCAGGATAACATGGAGCAAACTGCGGAATGACGGAGGCTGTGGGCATCTTCAGCCCCCGCCTGGGTGAGGCCTGAGCCATTATAGGGAGAATCTCCTTCAACCCAGGCGAGGGGTCTTTTTGCTCAGAAACTGCATGCATCAGGGCACTAGGCAAAGCTGCTTCAAAGCCCATAAGCCACGCTCCTTCTTGCACTTGAGCATTTGTTACCCACATCCTGCCCCCCCCACCCTTCCTCATGGGGCCAGCTTCATCTTGCCTTCCATCAGAAAATGAAAGCACCGCTGGTGCTGCTCGTTGTGTCGGGGTAAAAGTAGCCCTTTCCTTCTTAAAGTGGCCCAAGCCAACCACAGTTGTCAGGCATGTAAATTTGTAATGTGGTCAGTTGTTACCTTGGAGGCAAGTCAGCTGAAGTGCCCCCCCCCAGAGTCACTTACAAGGCCCCTCCTCTCTGAAACCAGCCTTAGCCGCCTTCCACCAGTCACTTGCCTCCTAGCATTTGCGCTTAGCCTTAGCACTCTGCTCTCTAACCAGGTAGAGGGAAGGAGCAGAGTGCTCTGTTGGATCTGGAAAAGGAGAGGCCACATTTTTGTGCTGATCCACTTTAACAACATTCTGAAATGAGCCTTTACTTTAGATTAGCCTTTTTTCCAGATTGCCTCATTCGGAAAATAAGGAGCTGGCCAGGCTTTCTGGAGTTTCTTTGCCAGTTTCAAGCACTCCCAGCTGCCTCCCCAACCAGGCTGGAGCAGGGCCAGAATCAGGCCCTCCCTGGCTTGCAAACTGGGGGAGCATTTCCCTACTGGTGCGAAGGGGGTGCTGCAAAGCCCGAGGAGGAAGCCATCCCAGACTGCCCCCCCAGGCAGACTCCCCAGCCAGCAGCACTGGGAAGAGAGGCAGTGCAGGGGGCCCGGGGCCCTCAGAGGCCAGGCTTTGGACCCGGAAGACCATTTCCCTATTGTGGTTTCCTAAGAGATTAGGGATTTTGTTCTTCCAAAACGTCCCCAGCACTCTAACACCCAGGTGGAATCTGCATTGGCTCTCCAGTTCAGGAGCAGCATTTTAATGGTGGTTGCTGCCTACAGGCTGTGGTGGATCTCTGTGGCCCAGACCAGCGCAGGGGAATCCTATAAGCCATCTAGTCCCAAGATCTGATGCCTGATCTCCTTTCTTGGCAGAGAGACCACCCTAGTTGGAATAGTGTGCCTTGATTTCAGCTCATGAAGTCTTGCATGAAATTCTAGCAGAAATTATATCAAAGTGTGGTTTGCACTAGATTACAAGCTGCACATCTGCCAAATGCAGTTCTCGGTTGCATCCACTGAATAATGTCAGGATCAAGAGAGCATTCTTACTCTATTCTGAACTGAACAAACCGCACTAGAATATTGTGTCCACATTGAATTTTAGGAAGGATATTAGCAAACCAATATCCAAAGAGAAAGGAAGATGATCAGAGGCCAGAAGGAAAATGTTAGCAGAAGTTCTGGGTATGTTTAGCCTGGAGAAGAGAAGGCTGGAGATACACATGGTGGCTGTCTTCAAGTATCTGAGACTCTGTCACGAAGAAGATGGGCAAACTTTTTCAGGGACAAAACACAACAGTTTTCTTTGTGGTTAGAGCTATTCAGCAGTGGAAGAGGCTTCCTTGGGAAGTGGCAACGTTTCCTTTGATGGAGATATTTAAAGACGAACTGGACGGTCATCGTGGATGGAAGGTTCACTGGTCAAGGAGTCCAATTAGAAGATCCAAGATTCCTTGATTGTGTTTTGAAAGATGCTGGAGAAGGTTTGATTCATTATGGCCCATCTCTAATGTTATTTATTTTATTTTTCTGAGTTATTATTTTATTGTTGTTTAGTTTTTATGGCTACTATGAATTTTTAACATTGTTTTCCATTTATGTGTTAACTGCTATGCCATTGATTGAGGCAGAATACAATATAGTGAAATAGTTCTGCAGAATTGTCTCTTTTAGGAGATGTTCAACTTGCCTGGAGGGAAGCACCTCCACTCTTTGAAGACCAAAGAGGCAAAAGGTGTTTCTCATAGAATCTCTTTGGTGTCTTCCAAGGAGACCCTGAGGTGGTGGTGGTGGGGGGGGGAATTCCTCCTTTCATGTCACTTCTCCCCTTTGCCCCTCACCTCTGGGTGCCCTTCCTTTGCAGGCTCCTGATGCCCCGCACCCTGGAGAGCCAGATCACCATGGAGAAGACACCCAGCTACTTCATCACCAGAGAAGCCCCCCAGCGCATCTTCAACATGTCGCGGAACACGAAGCTGATTGTGGTGGTGAGGAATCCCGTCACCAGGGCCATCTCGGACTACACCCAGACCCTCTCCAAGAGGCCGGGCATCCCCACCTTCGAGGGGCTCTCTTTCCGCAACCGCAGCCTCGGCCTGGTGGACACTTCCTGGAGCGCCATCCGCATCGGCCTCTACGCGCTGCACCTGGAGAGCTGGCTCCAGTACTTCCCGCTCTCCCAGATCCACTTTGTCAGTGGGGAGCGGCTCATCACGGACCCTGCAGAGGAGATGGCCAAAGTACAGGACTTCCTGGGCCTCAAACGGCTCATCACCGAGAAACACTTCTTCTTCAACAAGACCAAGGGCTTCCCCTGCTTGAAGAAGGCCGGGGGAGGCCCGCTGCCCCGCTGCCTGGGGAAATCGAAAGGCAGGCCTCATGTCCAGATTGACCCAGATGTGCTGGAGCAGCTGCAGGACTTCTACCGCCCCTACAACATCCGCTTCTATGAGGCTGTGGGGCGAGACTTCCGCTGGGAATGAGAGAGGCGGGGGGGGCTGGAGGAGCAGCTTCAGCTCTCCAGCAGTCTGCCTCTGTTCTGGCCGTGGGTGACCAGCCCAGCAGGCCAAAGTCCAGCCCTCGAGCCAGGGCCACTGCAGCACATGGCCATCCTGCCGGGGTTGGCGAGGCCTTCAGGAACTTTTCAATGGTGCAATCAGGGTATGAGAGGCCCAAGGATGGATTTTATTTTTCATAATGATATAAAAATAGAGTTTATAAAGAGCACTATGTAAACACTAAGGGCACCTGCTTCCTAGCTCTGCAGTCATGAAACCTCGGAGATGCCCTCTTGTATGAGGTCCCCATCCCTTAACTCCCCTGGCTGTTTTGCCCTCAACCCCCCCCCCCCCGAATAAAGCACAGATTTCTGCTATTACGGGTACTTGAGGCTCAGCCCGTGGCTTCTCCCAGAGTCTCTCTTGGTGGCCTCTTGTCTCCTTTTCCTTCCTGTGAAATAAGTCCCAGCCAACCCAAAGGCAGCCTGGCAGAGCTCTAGCAGGTTCCTTTGCTGGGAGAAGGGGGCACGGGTTCCAGGGGGAGGATGCTTTCGTTTCTCCCACAGGTACAGGGGGGCATGTATTTCAGCCTTAACTGAGAAAAACTGTCTTTCTCCATCCCCGAGGAGCACTGTGCGTGGCCCAGCCAGTTCTGGAGCACCTTCTCCAGCTGCCAAGGTGTGCCAAATTCTGCCCTTGCCTCCCCACCACCACCTGCCAGGGCCAGGAGTGCTGAGTTGCATTTCCAGTCCTTCTGTACATCTGCTGCCCTCAGTGGCATTGCCATCTCCATCTCAGAAGGGCTGTGGCTTCTCATTGGCACACAGTAGCTGGCAGCTCCTCCCCAAAGCAGAGGGTCCCTGGCAGCCCCTCGCTTGTTCTGCTCATTCTCCTTTGCTTGCCTCAGCAGCCGGAGGCAGATCAAATCTTTCAAGGGGTCCCCTCTGCTGGGGAAGAGCAGCAGTCCTGGGGAGGCATGTCTCAGCTCCCATCAGCAAAGAGCCAGGCAGTCTCTCCCTCAAAAGAGCTTCCGTTTCCACCTGCATTTTAGACTTCCTGTTTTAAGGTTAATTGGAGCAATGCAAGCGAGGGGGTCCTGGTGCAGCTGCTTACAACATCTCAAATATTAACTGGGGGTGATGTAAAGAAGAGATTCAAAAACAGTAACTGTGAGAGGGACCTTGGAGTCCTAGTGGATGATCACTTGAATATGAGCCAGCAGTGTGCAGCAGCTGCCAAGAAAGCTAATACAATTCTTGGTTGTATAAACAGAGGCATAGAATCAAAATCACATGAAGCATTAGCGCCGCTTTGTAAAACCTTAGTAAGGCCACACCAGGTATACTGCATCCAATCTTGGTCACTACATTACAAAAAAAATGTTGAGATTTGGAAAAAGTACAAAGAAGAGCAACTAAGATGATTAAAGGCTTGGAAACAAAAACATATGAAGAACAGTTGCAGGAATTGGGTATGGCCAGTCTAGAGAAAAGAAGGACATGATAGCAGTATTCCAGTATTTGAGAGGCTGCCACAAAGAAAGGGGGGGTTCAACATTTTCCAAAGCACCAGAAGGCAAGCCAAGAAACAATAGATGGGAACAGATTAAGGCACGGGTCGGCAACCTGCGGCTCCAGAGCCACATGTGGCTCTTTGAACCTTCCCCTGCGGCTCCCAGCCTCTTCTGCCATTTGCAGAGAGAGAGACAGAGAGAGAGGCACTTGCGCTTCCCTGCTTCTCTTCTCTCTCTCTCTCTCTCTCTCTCTCTCTCTCTCTCTCTCTCTCTCTCTCTCTCTCTCTCTCTCTCTCTCTGTGTGAAATAGTGGACTCACACTGTTCTGATGAGCTGACAAGCTTATTGGGCGGGACTCCTCCCTTTGCTGCGTCTCTGCAGGAAGCAGGAAGGCAGGAGAGAGCCAGCCTAATAACGTGTGTCAGCTTGTTGGAGAAGAGCCTGAAGCCAGTTTTCCAGATGAGCAGAAAATCAGAGAGAGGGAGAGAGAGGGGAGAGAGAGAGAGAAAGAGAGAGAAAGAGAGAGGGAGAGGAAAGAGAGGGAGAGAGAGAGGGAGAGAAAAGGGAGAGAGGGAGAGGAAAGAAAGAGTGAGGAAAGAGAAAGAGAGAGGGAGAGGAAAGGGAGGGAGGGAGAGGAAAGAAAGAGGGAGAGGAAAGAGGAAAGAGAAAGGAAGAGGAAAGAGAAAGAAAGGGAGAGGAAAGAGAAAGAGGGAGAGGAAAGAGAGAGAGGGAGAGGGAGAGGAAAGAGAGGGAGAGAGGGAGAGGAGAGAAAGAGGAAAGAAAAAGGGAGAGGAAAGAGAAAGAGAGGGAGAGGAAAGAGAAAGAGAGGGAGAGGAAAGAGAGAGAGAGAGAGAGAGAGAGAGAGAGAGAGAGAGAACTCATGCACAGCAGCCTCTATTTCTTTTTAATTAAACTCTTCAATCAAGGTCCCCACCCCTTGCGTTCGCGCACACGTGCACAAGTTTTGCGGCTCCCAGTGTTTTCTTTTCTCTGGGAAATGGGTCCAAGTGGCTCTTTGAGTGTTTAAGGTTGCAGACCCTTGGATTAAGGAAAGAAGCAACCTGGAACTAAGGAGAAACTTCCCAACAGTGAAAACAACCAGTGGAACAATTTGCCTTCAGACGTTGTGGGTGCTCCAACACTGAGGAAGGTATAGTTAAACTAGTAATATTCCTCCTCCCACCAAAGTCATAATGTCCATTTGAAATCCAGCCAATCCACAGGTGGCACAATGTGCAGGTAACTGGCACCGTTGGCAAGCAGTTCTCCAGTTTCATTTCTCTGTAACCGTCTCCCTGATAAGGGAGACACATTCCTTTCTCAAGTGGATGGAGGTGGAAGGAAAGCAGAAAGCGAAAGTTATCCCAAGCAAAAGCAAATATCCCCCCTCCCCCCAGCAGAAGGGCAGGCCCCAAAGCATGAGCTCAAGAGTATATGCAAGGAAGACAATAAGAATTGGGGGACCTGACGCACTGGAGGTTTTTTTAAAAAAAGACTGGACAACCACTTGTCTGGAATGGTATAGGGTCTCCTGCTTGAGTAGGGGGTTAGACTAGAAGACCTCCAACGTCCCTTCCAGCTCCATTCTGATTGAATTGAGACACTAATCCCCCTTGCAGAACATAAGAAACAGCATCCACAATCCCTTGGAATTAAGGACTATCAGAGGGTCTTCCCCAGCTTAGAGAGTTCACTCTGCTACAGACTGGGAGACCTTCCTGCAGGCTGCAGATTCCCCAGCTGACCAGGTCCTGTCTTAGCCACAGATCCATCGGCCAGGAGGTGGGCCTCAGAGTGCCTCCCTGCCAGGCTTGGGGTGGGGGGACTGCTTGCACGCCTCCCCCCTCAGCTCAGTGGCGCCTGGCCTCCACTGCGCTCCCTCAGGGCTGCTGCTGCCTTGCCCTGTTGGCTGTGGCTGAGCCACTTCAACTGCCTGGGGGGCCCACCATGCAGCTCCAGAGCCACCTGACCTCCCTGGCTCCAGCCTTTCCACTTCCATACTTCCTGCCTTCCTCCAGCTCCTGCTCCTTGGCTCCTGGTCCATTGGTTGGATGCAAAGAGGGCAGGGCAGAGCCTTGGACTGACTGGCAGGCACAGGCAGGCAGTCCTTTGGCAGTACAGAGAGGGGCTTCCAGGGGAGCAGCCCCAATTCTCTCGATCAGGTCTGAGACTGCCCACCCCTGCTGCCAATCCTCAACAGAAATGTTCACAACAATGAAAACCTCAGACAGGAGGAAGAGCGCTGCTGGGTGGGCAGGCAGGTGTCTTGCTCGGCTGTGGCTTGGGGGACACTTTTTTCAGTGCCATTGTAACTTCGAACAGTCACTAAGCGAACTGTTGTAAGTCGAGGACTACCTGTACTTCATCACTTTTTTCCTTTTGGGGGGGGTCATCAAGTTTTTGACACCTTGCTAGGCGACTGGTGGTACTCGGATGTTGCCATATCCTAAAAGTGGTACAATGGGTGAAACGGTTGAAAAGCCCTTACTTAGGATATAGGATTTCCAGTGAAGGCGTTGAAATGGACCCAGCTAAAGTGAAAGTAGTACTGGAGTGGCAACCCTCACGAACCTGAAAGCAGCTCCAGAGTTTTTTGGGGTTTGCAAACTTCTATTGGCAATTCATCCCCTCCTTTGCCAAAATTGCCTTGCCACTGATTGAGCTGTTAAAGAAGGGGAAAATGGGTGGGAAGCCACAACCCTGCCAACCACTTCCATGGTCCATTGAATGCCAAACTGCTTTTGAGATCTTAAAGAGACTGTTTGCAGCAGAACCCATTCTCAAACATCCCCATCCCGAGAAACAATTTACCATCCAAGCTTACGCTAGCGATGTAGTGGTGGGAGCTGTTCTTTTGCAAAGAAATGACAGTGGAAATTTACAGCCCTGCGCTTACACCTCCAAAACGTTAACGGACATTGAACGAAGGTGGGCAGTCTGGGAGAAAGAGGCTTTTGCTGTGAGGTGGGCTCTGCTTACTTGGCGCCATTTTCTTGAAGGGAACGACGTGTCTTTTGAGGTATGGACTGGTCACAAAAATCTAGAGGCACTAAAAACCCCTTGCAAATTATCCCCTAAGCCGGTCTGATGGGCGCAGTACTTTAACCATTTCAACTTTACACTAAAATATATTCTGGGAGGAAAAAATTTCCTAGCTGATGCCCTATCCAGACTGCCCCAATACAAAAGCCGTCGAGATTGTGAACTCCGCTATTCCATAATCAGAGTTGGTTTCTTAAGTAAAAACAGGGGGCCATCGCACACAAAATCTACTGAATCTGATTACTCGATTACTAAGAGACTGAAGGAGGAGTTGAAAACCGATCCCTGGTTCTTAGCAAATAAAACCATACTGACTTGTTGGGACAGGTTAGCTTGGAAGGGATTGAAACTGTATCTACCAGAGACTCTCAGAATTCAGGGTCTCCAGCACAGCCACAATAGCAAACAAGTGGGTCATTTTGGCTATCTA